GATGATTAGTACTTGAGATATCAGTGGAAAAACCGAAAATTGACTAATCATTATGCAAATTAGGTAATTAGTATCCACGGATTATTACCAAAAACTAATCAAAACCTAGCATTAGTTCAGAGCATCTATGTACCAAGTTTCATCAAAATCCAATGAGTGGTTGTTTAGATATCAGTGGAACAGTCATGGAACCACTAAAAAATAGCTAATTATCATGCAAATTAGGTAATTAATATGCACGGATTTTTACCAAAAATTAATCAAATCTGCGCATATGTTCAGAGCATCTATGTACCAAGTTTCATCAAAATCCAATGAGTGGTTCTTTAGATATCAGTGGAACAGTCATAGAACAGCTAAAAATTAGCTAATTATCATGCAAATTAGGTAATTAATGAGCATGGATTTTTACCAAAACCTAATCAAATCTGCGCATTGGCCCAGAGCATCTATGCACCAAGTTTCATCAAAAACCGATGTATGGTTCTTGAGATAGCAGTGGAACAGTCGGACACACATACACACACACACACATACACACATACACACATACACACATACACACACACATACAGACACACTAACTGCAAAGACTCCCATTTTGTGCTTCGCACATGGGAGTCAAAAACATAACAGTACTGTACAGTATATTATATTACATCTGTCACCGTATCGCCATAAGTTACAGCATGCCGTAATTTTGCAGTATTGCATATTAGGAAATGCTAATTCCAAATATGGAACAATTATGTGCGTTAAGAGTCCTCTAATAATAATAAAAAAAAACATGGCAGCTCTCAGTGCAAAGGTTGACTGGACCCCACACAAAGAAGTTCGCTAAATCTGGTAAAAAACTTTGATGAACTTAGACAGTACACAGTTGCATCAACTTCCACTACGTGTCAGCCAATACTCCCGCTGTACTGCCTTCGTGCATTATTTGCAGTATCCTTGTGATAACCTAGTATACAATGTATCGTAGTATACTATTCCAGCATTCATGGATATAATTTAATATAATACAGTTTTTTGATTTTGCTATAATAGCATTTACACATTTGCAAACAAATAACACATATACAAACTCGTAAATATGTTTTTATTTTGTGGCATTGGAATATCACAGGTGATGGTGTTTTGATGAAAATATTGCTTTTTTGATGAATCAAAATTTATGAATATTTTTGTAATAACTGAATTTTGCTTTTAAAATTTAATCAGTTAAATATTTATCCTAATTTCATATTCAAAACTAATTATTTATAAGTTGTTGAGTTTAAAAAATATGGTATTTATTATATTTAAATCAGGTTTATGACAATTTTTTTCAAAACATGCAATTTTTAGTTTACCGGTATATGCACTCCTATTGGAAACGTTCTTTTAATATAGTAAATATGGTATTATAATAATTTAAATCAGGTTTATGACAATTTTTTTCAAAACATGCAATTTTTAGTTCATATGTGCTCTTATTTGGAAATGTCTTTTTAATAACTAAGAGTAAATATGGTACTTATTATATTTAAAACAGGTTCATGACCAACACATGCAATTTTTGGTTTATATGCCATTGTATTGGAGATGCACTTCAAATAGAACAGATACAGAATATATTAAATATATTTAAAACATCATCATTTCAAAACATGTTTCATAATTGAACAGGATATATTTTTTACCTTTTCGTCATGAAAACCTGTGTATTTACTAGATAATGGTAAAATATAAACATGTTTTAATCTATAATTTGATTCATTACATTACCCTCTTTTTTTATTTCACGTATGACTGTGTACAACAATTTCAAACATACGACATATGAGTAAATTGAAACTTTTACCAACTGTATTGATCAACCTTAAAAGATCCCATATTATATAAAATGCACAACACATATACTGTACTTCCCCGAGTATAAGCCCAGGGACCTGAACATGTAAAATTGGGAAAATTAGAGGGTGAGCTTATACTCGAGAACCACCTCAGAAAAGATAATTTTTTGGGGGTTTTAGTTTGTAACCATCTTCCCACCCATGAAAAATTATCCAAATTACATTTTTCGTTCATAGCACTGATCGAGTTGTACGTCATTGATTTCCACAACACTTTTTCAATGAAGAAACAAACATGTTCATAAAAATATGCATATTTTATTACAAAAGGTTTACATACCATCTGAATTTACAGTGCAAATATGGAATGTTTTCCATCGTATGCAAAAAAGCAATTTCCGTCATGATGTTCCTCATAATCATTTTACCTGAACAACTTCCTTTGACATAACAGGTCACGTTTTTCGTTAACCAATCAAAATACTGTGTCATACAGACGAAGTTTTCCGACTATTAATGAAGTATTATTTTTCAACGCAACGCGGAAGTGAATTATTGGGATGTTAAAATGCTATATGTTAACACTGATTTCTCAAAAAACGGTGATTTTTTCCATAGAAGCTGTTGATTCACAATTTTCAAAAGGTAAACTGAGGATGGAGGAAATATTTAAACCTTTCACGGTCGCCAAGAAGTCATGTCGAAGAATACTAGTAGTTTGCTCATTCACACCCCATTCACGATAGTCTCAATGGACGCGATTATTCGGAAAAGTAAAGTAAAATGATGTTCTATATGACCAAGTTTCACGGCTTGACGATTATGTTTTTGGTGTTTCGAAACCTACTACTCAAAAGAAATATGGATTACTTCAGTAATGCAACATCGGGGTTCATCCTGAGTAAATAACATATTAGGAAAGATGTGAACCACGTTCTGTACGTTCGCCCACCATGCACTCTGAAATTAAATTTTATCGTTAAAGCAGGAACCAAACTACCGTGCTAATCATGATTTTTATGCAGTGAAATACACTTTGCACATGCATAAATGTCATCGACACCCGGTAAAAACACCCTGGGCCTATACTTGGGGATGCCCTCAACTCGTTAAATGTCTAAAAACAGAGGGGTGGGCTTATACTTGGGGAGGGGCTTATATTGTGAACTCCCTAGGTTGATTGGAACTGACTCTCATAACAAAGCACTGGAAAGACTTGGATTGAATCAGTAACGTTTGCGAGGCGTCGGTTAGTTGTGTATCGCTGGTGATATCCACTGGTTTTGACTTGTTTTCTCGCTATCTGCACATATTCGTAAGCATAAATACCTCTCAAAAGACTCTATATAGTGAGTTTTAACAGCATTACGAAATCTGCATGCCACTTTACAGAGGGTGTTCTAAATTCAATTTTTGATTTCTATTGAATAAGATTCTCAGAATAAATTCAAACCTAAAGGTTGTGATGCTTACAGAGGTCAGTGAGAGATTTTCTACAGATTATATGCGAATGCATGGGAATGTTACTTTAAATAACAAATGACTATTCTCATATTAGTTACACAGTTTGTTTGTGTTTGTCTGTATTTATGTCTTTACCATACAGTATCCTCAGATGGTATTTGAGGCGTAATATTATTTTTTTACTAACCTGACTGTTACTATAAGGTTTCCAAATATTACCATTGTCTTTCCAATACCAAATCCACTTGGTTGACAAATCACTGCTTTTGTTTATAGTTTCCACTTGCGATAGAGTTGATAGGCGCTCAATTCTAACAAATAGGTTAAGTTCATTCCTCCCACAGTACTGACCACTAATAGTTCCATTCATCACATCAAAGTCAAGGTCAAGGTCAATATTTGCACCTGTAACACTAAAAATAGATTATGAAGTCATTTTAATATCCTGAGTTGGTCAGATCAGCTGAATAATATAAATGCATGCTATAATGTATGTATTAATGTTTCCTATGATTTCATGCATGCCACAGCTGTTCTTACTTTATGTGGTAAAATACATTGGATATGTAACAATATATCAAACATAATGGCAACATTTTTGGTATTCTAAATATATTGTACATAGAAACATGCAAGTATTTTACAAGTCCAAAATAACGCTTGTTCACTATTTGAGGGGCATTCTACATTATGTCTGAAATCCCCATGGGCTTAGTTTAAATCAGAGCTCTGCCTTGTACTTTTTACTTCTAACAAGTAGTTCAAAATTTAAATTATGAAATACCCAATACTCGTTTGTGCATATGTATTAGCTGGTTATACCTGAAAACAAAATAATGGCATTGATTGGCATTGAAAGCAAATTGGTTCCTCTAATAAGCTAAAGACATACAGAATGTTTGAAGGGGAACTGCTCAATCCCATGGATTGGACCAAGTGCGAACAAGTTTAAAGCTGAAAGCTACTACGTTGATATCACTAATATTCAGCTACGTATGACCTTAACTACATTTAGAGTTATTAATCATTGTCTTAAAATTAAAACTGGCAGACACAAACAGATTGTAGTTATAATTCTAGAATTTGTGACCAATGTACACAAAAATAAGTTGAAGATGAAAAACCACTATGTTATAAATTGCTCAGCATATGGAGCACATAGACTGCATTTATTTTACAAAGCAGAAATTCATATAAATAACTTTATAATCAGTAGCGAGAGTGATAAATTTTTTTCCATTATGAGCAACAAACATATGTCACTTCCCATAACTGTGTTTGGTTGTGTAGTCTTTTATCATCAAAAACATAGTAAATTCATAGTACACTGTAGCCTCGTTATAACGTACTCTTTGGGAGACATACAATTAGTTTGTTATAGTGAAATGTTCACTATATTGAAGCACATAATACATTGGCTTTGTTGTAAGAGGGAGACATGTTATGTGTTTATTATATCAGGAAATTCATTATAAAGGTGTTCATTATATTGAGGTTACAGTGTAATCTTATTTGATAGACAATGATGACCTTTGACTTTTGTGTCACCCATCTAGGTCGTAGAAGTGTTTTGTCTTAGAGGGCATACTTTATAGAAAAGATGTATTCCGTATTTCTGTATACTATTTAGAAATTTTCTTGGTTAGCTAATTTATTATATAATGATGTTTCTTTTTGAGACAAATTATGTTGGGGCAATGAGTCCTTGTACTACACTTGAGCAAACATCCACAAAAAGGCAAAAATATACTTACCCTTGCCACTTTTGGAATGATTGCTGTTTAACATTGCAGTAGGCACTTTCAATCATTTCACTGACGTGGTCAGGGAATTTATGGCGTTCCCCATGATAAGTTGAATATATCCATTGATATGGCATGATACAATGATGAGATCCACAGAGTTGACCTTGCTGACATTCACCATAGATGTTATCTACACAGATTGAAGCATCATAAGCATTGATGTGAACATCCGGAACAGGAGCACTTGTTGAAGAAGATGGTGTAAGTGCCTTAGGTATGTCAGACTTCCCCACAGCAACACTTGCTGAAGATGGCGTAACTGCCTTAGGTATGTCAGACTTCCCCACTGCAACACTTGCTGAAGAAGATGGTGTAACTGCCTTAGGTATGTCAGACTTCCCCAGCAACACTTGCTGAAGATGGCGTAACTGCCTTAGGTATGTCAGACTTCCCTACTGCAACACTTGCTGAAGATGGCGTAAGTGCCTTAGGTATGTCAGACTTCTCTACTGCAACACTTGCTGAAGATGACGTAACTGCCTTAGGTATGTCAGACTTCCCCACTGCAACACTTGCTGGAGAAGATGGCGTAACTGCCTTAGGTATGTCAGACTTCCCCACTGCAACACTTGCTGAAGAAGATACGCCAAAAATGTTGTCAAAACTCCATGCCTCTGAACGAAGCGAACCACGACCATGAACATGCATCCTCTCATTCATGACCTCCTCCTCAGGATGAAACAGAATAGTTTTTCTGAGAGGACCTTCATCCATATGATCTAACCGATACTTGCTCAGCACATTCTTGGCTTCACTTGATTTAAAATCATGGGAGCGTTCACATTCTATATCTATATATCCGGATATTCTACACAAGCCTTTGTCATTCTTGATATACCCTTTGCAAAGATGAAGTTCTGAACAGTTGGTATCTTTACATCCATCTCTGTTATAGTTTTTACAAAGAAAAGGAATACAATTCCTCATTAGAACCAACAGTTCTTTATCACTGAAGCATCCCAAATTTAAACTCTGCACATTCTTTTTTGTAACACTATCATCAAAGTTGTGGGCATACTTGCACTTATCACCAAATCGACAGTGTCCACTAACATATTGCCTACATACATGTGAGTATTCACAGGTAACTTTACTGCATCCTCTTGGTGTGCTATAACTGAAACAAATCCTGAATCTAGATTCAAAAGCCATTACTTCTATCTCATCACTTGGTTCAATCTTGGATAGGATGAAATTCTTCCAGTGTTTTTGCAACCATTTTTTAACATTTATTCCATCTTTGAACACATCTGTGTGACTTTCTAGTTTACTTATGAAAGCTTTCCCATTGTAGTCTCTCACTATTATCTGGAAAACCTCAGAAATGGCAGGTTCAGAAACCGGTGGTGGAAGTGTCTCCTCAGGGTTTCTTGAAAACTGATTTCCGATATTCCCTGCTTGTTGTCCTCTTCTCCCTCTTCTTCTACATCTCTGTCCTCGCTTTCTTTCTGAGCAGTGTTTCCTATTTGCACAGCTTTCATCACCATCAAGAAAAGAAGATGTGTCTGATGTACGAGATGATTCTGAATAAATTGATGTTCTGTCATCATCATCGTCACCACCACAACGACGGTACTCGTAGTTGCTTCTTCTATCACTTTCTAACAAACTTGGTATACAGTCAACACTAGTTTGATAATATGGATGACAAACACCAGTTCCAGTATACATGTTTCTAGGCACATTAGCTGCATGTGTAGGATAACTTCCAAGGATTCCTGCACCTTCATTAAATTTTGTAGGTACAGGATGTCCATCTCTTCCTCCTTGCCCTGCATGTCTGTCATTACCCATTCCCCTGAAACCTCTACCTGCTGAACCATAGCCACAGGCACCCATTTCCCAGGAGTCATGGCCAGTAGGTCCATATCTGCCATCACCCATTCCTCTGAAACCTCTCCCTCTAGGCCCTGATCCGCCAGCACCCATGCCTCTATCCCCTCTCCTTCTATATCTAATTTCACCACCCCTGGAAGCTCTAACCAATGGAGGACCATTTCCCCTTCCTTGATGACCATGTCTGTTTCTCGTATAACCGATTCCTCTATTACCCCTCCATCTATTTCCACCAGTTCTTTTTGAATTGTCCTTTGCAGCAGTGTATTGAGCAGGAACATCGTCAGTTGCATCCTCATTGTCTATCTTAACATTGTGCTGATCCTGTCTATTCTTTCTTCTTCTATTTCTCTTCTTTGTCTTCAAAGCCTGATCTTGACTCCTACCTGAAGGTTCCCCATCCTTCACATCCAAAAGCATTACAGGAACATCTTCCAAGACCTGTCCTTCACATGTTATCTCATTGTCAACTGCTTGGTGATACCAATCATTTTTTCCAGAAACTTCTGTATAAAGAGTAGATATACTCTCATCAGCTTGGTTTTTATCATCATCATCATTATCATTGTCATCCCCATTATCAACATCAGTGTCACCATCGTCATCTTCATCATCATTACTGAATGTTTCCAACTCAACAAGATCCACTGCATCAGAACCCGGAAGAGAGATAGTTATTTTACCATCATCATCATCATCATCATCATCATCATCTTTCTTCATCATCTATTATCAACATCAGTGTCATCATCATGACTGAATGATTTTAACTCAACAAGATCCACTGCATTGAAACCGGGTAGCAAGGTAGTTACATCATTATTCTCATCATCATCATCATCATCATAAGGTAGCAAGATAGTTACCAAAATGTATTTATAAGGTAGAGCAACATTTAGATTATATTTCTGACAGATATTTTTGTTGTGTGGGTCTTTTATTTCATGAGAAAGATGACATCCTGAAGAACATTGTTCTTCAACATGATTTTGGCAAAGATGAAGATATGAACATGCTGAATTGCTGCACTGTCCCAAGTTGTAACCACCACATAGTTTTGGAAGAGAGTTTCTAATCAAACTTTTAATATTATCATCACTTTGTTCCGTCAAATTCAATTTCTGTAGTATGTGCCTGTTATCTTCATTATGGAAACTGTGTGATTGTCCGCAAATCGTTTCATTTTTTGCACAAACCACTGATGAAATATCTACATACATGTAATCGATCACATTTGGATGCATTGTCACACTTTCCTTTCCGGCAGTAATAATAACATAACTGTTTACCTAATAACAGTGTAACGTACTTTGAACCATCACTCGACGATGATGTCATATATTGCGACTTTTGCAGTGTTGTTGTTTCAACTCCCAGCTCAGAAACTGACACACGACCTCCATTTTCAATGAGGTGCTGTTTTATAAACGAAGAATTTACAACAACTTGGTTAAGATTCGTACTTTGCTTCTTTTTTACATTAACAGCTGGAGTCACCTTCTCGCGAGCTAACGCCATTTTGAACTGAACAGGTTTTCTTTCTACTGATAAAAACATACGGTTAATTCCCCGAATTCTCTACGTCATTATTTCTACGAAATTCTGAGTCATCGACATTCCAGGAAGAAATTCCCGAATACACACACCAAGTAGAGGCGGACTTTCAGGTAAATCCCAGCATTTTTTAGGCAATATCCGCGTCGTGTAGATGTACATTAATTAGTTAATTAACAGCAGACAAAACAAACAAACTTCTTACAAAAAATGTATGTTGTGTTAGGACAGCGCCATCACCGCTCGCGACCCCAGTTGAACTTTTACATGTGACTGGGCATACATTCAAAATGGCTGCGCCCATCGAAGACGAAGATCCCTTTCCGCGGAACGACGATTTTTACTCCTTATTAAACGCAAGGAAGGAGGTAAAGTTTATTGTTTTAATTCTACGTACGGGGGAGCTATGGCAGCAAGATTTAAATATCAAGACAATCGTTGATGTTTAACAGAGGACCAATCAAGTCTGTTGAAATCTTTCGTCATCTGATCTCAATTCAAAATTCTGTACTGTGTACATATAATGTTTTGCAGGCGGGAGCTTTAGTTTTACAGAAACTTTACTTGGATCGTAGACCCCAGGGTCTACTTGAATCATGTCAGCAAAAACAAAACAAAAAACAATCATGATAGTCATCGGCTTCGTTTTTGAAAAAAATACAGTTTACTTGACCGGCATAAAAAAGTCAAAATAACAAAAACATTGGTCTTATTTTAACATGGAAGGTAGTAGAGGAGGAGAGAGGACGTTATTGTTGTTCCCTGTTTTATGGTCGATTTATTTATTTGGTAAAACGTCCCGTAATGGGATAACGTGAATAATTAGCATCCAGGTCAGCTTAGAAGAAGTCAGGGTTTTACAGAGATAAATTGACACCAAAATAACTCTATATGACCAAATCAATCCTTGTAATATGTAGTAGGCGATGCCTGGCGAGCAAGCGCAGTCGAGTAGTTTATTGATTTATTAAAAATAGAACTGACGTAACAATAGAACCTCGGAGTGTGTGAACTTCGAAAGTCAAGTTATTGGTTCATGTGTTTCGCTGCTGATATAAATGACCCAAAACACAATTTTAAAATATATAGATGACTTTCATACTATTCTAAACTATGTTTAAACTTATTTGACCAGCTAATTTCACTAATTTTAATGTAGGGGCACAAATCTGGGCTTGTGAATAGACCATTTTCCGTTCACTGCGAGAATCACGCGTTATGCGTGAAATCGAACGTAAAACCGGGACAAACAAAGGTCATAGCATCGTAGTGGCATCAAACATCGCGTGGGATTTGACAAACGCGAAGTACTTTGGGGGACATTTCCATGCTTAATAATGTGCTGTCCACATTTCATGATAGGCAATTTCGATTAAGTAAGGGTATTCGGAAGCAATATTCCTCTGTCGAAGATCGGCCGGTCGGTGTGAGTTACGAAATAAAGAAATTCTAGTTCAAAATCAAATCGTTCGACTTTTGCGGCAGACGTTCGACGCGCATCTTTAAAAACATAAATCTGGATAAAAACTTGTCCTCTCTCCTCCCATGATTTTAATAATTGCTTCTCTGTGAAAGTGTTCCCTTTGTACATCCCACTCTTAACACTAATCCTACCCCTTACCTCCAGCGCTCCACAATTTAATTGTATATGCCCCTCCTAAGGACACCTATTGTTATCTAGATTAGGATTAGGGGGAGGGTACAAAAACTCTTTCCCTGCTGTGTTCTCTGATAGTTTTTTTGAAACTATCAGTCGGCCTTTTATCCGGCCACTATCCATTTTTAGACAGGTACCTAACCAGGTACAAATGTCGTTTGGCAGCAAGAATTTCAATAACCTTGTCCACTTAAATCCATAATTTGCTTCAAAAGTAATCACAAGAGAAAAAAATTGAAGTAAAATTCTGTGAATATTGATTGTCTTCTTTCATTATTTTTACCATCTCACATATTAGTAATAAAAAGACTATTATAAACAACAATATTATGGCATTTGTGTGGGGCCTCAGAAACATTTTCACTGCTACAGAATTTCGCGATTTTCATTGATTTTGTCAAAATTAAAATGATGTTCTGTATATCTCTGTGCTCATTTCTCTTAAAGGCAAGCCAAGATGAACTGAAAGCATCATATCGTCGTGTTTGCATGATTTATCACCCTGATAAACATCAAGATCCTACCAAGAAAATAGAGGCAGAAAAATTGTTCAGCAAAGTACAAAAAGCTTATGAAGGTAAGTGACCTTTGACCTTGGTGAATTAAGCCCTGGCTCATTATAATATCAAATGTTTAACAACAATGAGGAGGAAATAAAAGAACAATTTTACTGGGAGAATTTACAGTATAGAAAAGAACTAAAATTCTTTTTCAAAAATTCTTCTTAGATGTCCACCTACACATTTATGTTGCACTGAAATAGACATTTGTATGTATACAAAAAATTATCTTCAAGTAAATTTGAGAACAAATTCTGTGTTGTAGCCACACCCCTTCCCTGTCGCAGATGATTGTTTCCAGCCTTCTAACTTCTCTCTCCTAAAGTGAAACAGCACCACCAAACATCAGAAAATAAGAGAAGCCATGCCATGTACTGAATATTGTAAAAACTTGTATTTAAAACAATTCTATTTACAAGTATGTGAAATGCTAAGTAAGTATGCTAATAAAAAAACATGATTTTGTTGTTTGGGAATTAGTAGAATATTTGAAAGATCAATTGAATATCATTTTTTTATGCCTAATTTTATTGTATATCCCGGGTGCAAAATATTACCGAACAATTGGTCTTCTGGCGGCATTATAATGCACCACCTACATGTATGCATAGTCAGTATCCTAAAAAGTGATCACATACATGTACATATGATCACCGCTTACCACGTGGTGTTTGTTGGCGGATAAAATTGAAAACGAATCAGAAAGTATAGTAACATCGAAAACGAATCATCCTGAATTTCCGTCTACCACGATTTATTTCAACGAAAGCAGCCCAAACAAATGCCGCGCAAAAATCCAATTAAGTAATAAGATATTACCATACACGACAAATATGATAGAGGGTAAAAATGTGCATTCATGTATCATGAATGCATCCAAATATGGTACCGATGACTGATAATTAATATCACCGCCAAACATCTGTAGTTGTGCCTATGCCGTTGGTTATTTGATTAAACTTACCATTTCCTTACATGTCTATTAAATTCTTGCGTGTACCTTACTCTTTTTTCTTCTTCTATTTATCTTGCAAACTTTAAATATACCATTATAAGCCATGGTGACCGGTCAAAAAATTATTACAATGCAGGGTACAGTGGATTTGAGCTTAACTAAGCTACATTGTACCAATTGAGTCTGTGGCACACTTACCCAGGGTAC